GAACTACGCGAAAGCTTCAACTATGGCCTCTTCTGCCCGCCTCAGAACGGACGGGCGGGCAAATTCTTGGATGAGGAACGCCCGCTGGGGGACTACCCGCTCACCGCGCCCATCGGATACTTGGAGGTGGGTGTGCGGGGGTCGTCTGGGTGTGGGGGGGGTGGAGGGGGGGGAATGTTTGTTGTGTTTGTGTGTGTGTGTGGGGGGGGGGATTTGTGTTGTGTGTGTGTGTTGTGTGTGGTTGTGTGTGTGTGTGTGTGTGTGTGTGTGTGTGTGTGGTGTGTGTGTGTGTGTGTGTGTTCTGGTTGTGTGTGTGTGTGTGTATTCTGGTGTGTGTGTGTGGTGTGTGTATTCTGGTTGTGTGTGCTGTGTGTGTGTATTCTGGTTGTGTTTGTGCGTGTGTATTCTGGTGTGTGTGTGTGTGTTGTATTCTGTTGTGTGTGTGTGTGTGGTGTGTGTGTGTGTGTGTGGTTGTGTATTCTGGTTGTGTGTGTGTGTGTTTCTGTTGTGTGTGTGTTGTGTGTGTATTCTGGTGTGTGTGTGTGTGTGTGTGTATTCTGGTGTGTGTGTGTGTATTCTGTGTGGTGCGTGTGTGTGTGGTTATGTATATATGAGTATATATAAGTATTACGTGAGTGACAGAGTAAGTCGGGTGAGTGTGTGTGAACTTTGTCACGTGCAAGGTCTTTATAAGTACTGATATAGATCTTGGTCACATGGAGGATCTGGAAGGGCTACGAGCGTTTCTTGTTTTTAGCGACCGATTAAAGGAGGGCGTCGAACGAGCGTATGTGTTTTTTTTATTTCATTTATTATTTTTTTATTGATCATTACTATTTTTTTTCATTATTACATTTTTTTTATTAATTATTTTTTTTGGTGTGTGTATTTTTTTCAAGCAGTGCGTGTTGTGTGGAAGAATTAGAATTGAGAAATAGAAGAATAGCAAGAGAAATGGTAGCAGAAGGTACACGATTCACCCAGCGTAGATTCTAAAAAATGCCAGAAAATGACACTGAAAACAAAACAAAACGAAGAACCATGAGAAAAACATTCATTACTTATTCTTTATGATTCTGAACCGACCGCAGATGTAGAATATTACGCTTTGATCCGGCCTGACAGAGGTTTGGAATTCCTGTCGACACGCTATAAGCACATCACGCGTTCGTCTTTTGTTTTTGTTCGACGCGGGCTTCGTCTTCCGTGTTGAAACGTCATCAGTAACGAAAATGATCGTAGAAGTTTGTGAATAACGAGGAATACAGAATTAGTCGGTCTTATGTTTGTAGTTTATTTAGTGGCGGTGATGTAAGATTGAGATTTTTAATCATGAGATCACGAATTGCATCGCCATGACAACTTGGCTGCACTAAGTCGTCCTCTCCATTGGCGGTCATGCACGGCGCGGATGTGTATGTGTGTGTGTGTCATGCAAGTGGTTTTTAAAACTATTCGGGAAATCTGTGAATCCAAAGGCGGATCTCTTTGGCTTTGAGAGAGTTAGGTGTTGGATATCTTTGGTTCGGATTTACATGTTTAGGAGAGGGAAGGAGGGATCAGGGAGAGAAGGAAGACCAGAGAGAGAGAGGGGGAGGGGAGAAGAGAGAGAGAGGGAGAAGAGAGAGAGAGGGAGAAGAGAGAGAGAAGGGGGGGAAGAAAGAAGAGAGAGAAGGGGGGAGAGGGAGAAGAGAGAGAGAGAGGTGGGGAAAAAGAGGGAGAAGAGAGAGAGGGGGGGGAGAGGGAGAAGAGAGAGAAAGGGGAGAGAGGGAGAAGAAGAGAAATGGGGAGAGAGGGAAGAAAGAGAGAGAGAGGGGGGAGAGGAGAATAGAGCGAGGGGGGGAGTAGAGGGAGAAGAGAGAGAGAGGGGGGAGAGGGAGAAGAGAGAGAAAGAGAGGGGGGAGAGGGAGAAGATGAGAGAGAGAGGGGGAGAGAGGAAGAAGAGAGAGAGAGAGGGGGAGAGAGGGAGAAAGAGAGAGAAGAGAGAGGGAGAAGGAGGGAAGGAAGAAATAGGGAGAGGGAGAAAGATATAAAATATGGGACAGATAGAAAAAAAAAATTGATAGATAGGCAAATAGCTAAATAAGATAAGAAATAGATAGATAGATATAACCCATGATGACAGACACTCCGACAGAGGAAAGACAGACACAAAATCCATAGACACCCAGTAAGTTCGATAAAGTTATCTTTTGAAGACAAGTTCTCAGAAAGATCAAAACAAGGTCAGCCATAACCGTAGGATTATTTGAACTACAGTTGTAATCTCACGTACAGTACATTATAGAGAGAAGAAAAAAAACTGGTATAAGCTATGTAAATAACCTGAATTATATATCAACCTCAACGCAAAAGTCTGAATTACAAATAGCTATATAGTATAGCCCTTTTTTTCTGTGATTTTCGTATTTATTTTGGTATTTTTTTTTCAAGCGGGTTACCATGACGTCACTCTCAAGGTCACGTGACGGGGCGGAGCTTGGCCTTCGTAGGCACAGAGGCGCCGACGCTCGCTAATCCTTAGGGTTTTAGTGCCGTCATGATGGTGGCGAGGTGCGTGTAGGGTTATTGCGTGCTTGTGCGTGCGTGTTGTGGTGTGGTGTGGATATGTGTCGTGTGTGGGTAGATGTGTGGGTAGATGTTTGTGTGTGTGTGTGTGTGTGTGTGTGCGTGTGTGTGTATGTGTATGTTTATGTATGTGTATGTGTATGCGTGCGTGCGTGCGTGCGTGCGTGTGTGTGTGTGTGGGGGGGGGAAGAGTCTGAGGATGTTGCGCGCTCAAACCTATTCTCATATTCAAACAAACACCACTCACAGGACAAAAAAAGTATACAAGACAGACACCGATAGACCACAGACAGCAGATAGAGCGAGAGACAGGAGAAATGGGATCACAAAAATAGAGTGTAGATGCTAGATAATTAGAGATAGATAGACGAGAGACAGACAGACTAGACAGAGACAGAAACAGAGACAGACAGACATGACAAGAGAGAACAGACATACAGGCAAGAGACAGACTACAGGCAAGAGACAGACAGACAGAACAAGAGACAGACAGACAGACAGAGAGCAGAGTACAGACAGGAACAGACAGAGAGAGATAAGCGAGATAATTAGGATAACATAAATATTAATTACCAAGTAAATACTTAAGATAGCTTTGTAGATAGATAATTAATTAGATAAGTGATAGATAGACATGATAGCTGGAGGCGAAAGAAGGTTAAAGGGAGAGGAAGAGGGAGGGAGAGATAAATGATAGATAGATAATGATAACGATAAAGAAAGGTTGAGAAGGTGATAGATAAAATAGTTAAATATAAATAGATACACATAATGAAAATGGATAGATAGATCATATATGAAGCATTCGAGACAAATACATAAATAGATAAAGATAATAGATAAAAGCGACACACGCGCATACCGGTAGCCGGTGTGAAGCCGATAAGGGGGGTCCCATGGCCTCTCCAAACGCCATACCGGCCGATAAGGGCATTTCAAACTTAATTACACAGAAGGAGGAAGTTTAGTTGATTTGACAGCGTGGATGAATTCGGTGGCTTTTCGAGAAGAGGCGCGAGCAGGTGTGGTGCGTGCGAGTGGGGAGTGCGGGTAGAAAGGTGGAGGGAGGGAGGGGTGAGTGTTGTGTGTACTGTGTGTGGAGGAGGGGGTTTGTGTGTGGTAGAGTGTGTGGTGTGTGTGTGTGCTGTGTGTGTGGTGTGTGTGTGTGTGTGTGTTGTGTGTGGTGTGGTGGTGTTGTGTGTGTGTGTGGTGTGTGTGTGGTAGAGAGTGTGTGTATAGAGAGTGTGTGTTTGTGTGTAGAGAGAGTGTGTGTAGAGAGTGTGTGTGTGTAGAGAGTGTGTGTGTGTGTAGAGAGAAGTGTGTGTGTACAGAGTTTGTGGTGTGTGTATGTGTGTGTGTGTAAAGAGTGTGTGTGTGTAAGAGTATGTTGTGTGTGTGTAATGCATGTGTGTGTGTGTATGCATGTGTGGTGATTGAGTGAAGTGAGTCGAAATTTGTTGTGTGCACGTGCACACGGGCGCCACGTGTTTTGCGGTTGGTGTCAGTATTAAAGCTGTTGTGATGATAATTTTTTATTTCTATTTTGTATTCGCATATATATTGTAATCATTATAATGTTTATCATTAGTGTTAGTATTATTATTATTTTTAATGTCAGTTATACGAGAGAGAGAGAGAGAGAGAGAGTTGAGAGTGAGAGTGAGAGTGAGAGAGTGAGAGGTGAGAGTGAGAGTGAGAGTGAGAGTGAGAGTGAGATGTGAGAGTGAGTGAGAGTGAGAGGTGAGTGAGTGAGAGTGAGTGAGTGAGTGCGTGAGTGAGTGAGAGAGTGGTGAGTGAGTGATGAGTGAGTGAGTGAGTGAGTGAGTGAGTGAGTGAGTGAGTGAGAGTGAGTGAGTGAGTGAGTGAGTGAGTGAGAAGTGAGTGAGTGATTGAGTGAGTGAGTGAGTGAGTGAGTGAGTGAGGTGTGGTTTGCAGTGTGTGTGTGTGTGGTGTGTGTGTGTGTGTGTGTGTGTGTGTGTGTGTGGTGTGTGAAGGAAAAAAAAGAAAAGGGACGATATGGACTGATTGAGTGCGTGTGTGTTTATACATGCGAGAGAGGACGAGGTTAAATGGTTTCTTCGAGATTTTGTGAAAGTGAAAGCCACCCACGTGCGCTTATCCACGTGTATCGCTCTTATCCATCATCCATGACTTTTATCCTCTCCCTTACACCTTCCCATCCCCCCTTCCCCCACCCCTCCTCTCCTCTTGTCTTGTTCTTTCTTTCATCTTCTTCCCACCTCTTTCCTCCCTTCCCTTCTTTCCTCCCCTTTTCTCCCCTCCTTCCCCTTCGTCTCACTCCCACCCCCTTCCCATCACCTCACCTCATTCACCGGCTTTCTTCACACCTTCCTTCATACCTTTACCCTGCCATCCGCCCCCTCCCCTATTCCACTCCCCTCCCCCATTTCACTCTCTCCCTCCCCTATTCACTCCCCTTTTCACTCCCCCTCCCCCTATTTCCTCCCCTCCCCCAATTCCACTCCCTCCCTCCCTTATACACCCCCCTCTCCCTATTCCCCTCCCTCTATTCCACTCCCTTCCCCCTTTCCACCCCTTCCCTCCCCTATTCCACTCCCTCCTCCCCATTCCACTCCCCCATATTCCATCCTCGTACAACGACCGCACGCATCTCTAACTCCCTCTCCCCCCCCCCTACTCCCCCCGCAGCTCAAGTACAAGCGCCGCGTGTACAAGATGCTGCACCTGGAGGAGAAGGCCTTGCGGGCGCTGCACACGAGGGCTAACCTGCGCCGGTTCCTGGACTACGTGAAGGAGAACAACGTGGAGAAGGTGACCAAGCTGTGCGCCAAGGGACTCGACCCCAACTTCCACTGCCAGGACACGGGAGGTCAGTGCTGTGGGGTCTTGCTGATTTTTTTATTGTTGTTTTGTCTTTTTTATGTCGTGGTCTTGATATGTACACATGATCGGTCACGCGTATATTGGTATGCACTGACGCTTGTGCGTACTCACGTATACGCTAGCGTAAACACATACGTGCGCGCGCATACACGCACACGCGCACGCACACGCACACGCACAACACAACAACACTTAATATATATATATAGGTCGCCTACGAGGGACCATAAAACTTCACATTCGAACGATTACACTCGTAGTAAATTCTTTGAAATTTAATGATATTTAGTTTTATGGCCGTCTATGTAAGTGGAACTCGTAAGGAAAACAGCGTTTATTGCAATGATAACCTCTTCATGCATTCTCTACACGAAATTCACATAAAAAGAATTGCTTGAACCCCAAAGGGACATAAACGCGATTAAACACACATACAGTGCACGCAACACGTAGGAAAACACTTTAGTTGCCCCTCCAAACCCTGAATTACAATTTTCTATCTCGTAGAAAACGAAATGTAGGACAGACTCAATAAATATTTTTTCGTTCATTCGCGCATTGCTATTCTAAATGATGCTACGAAACTTTTGAGGCAGATAAAGGGCACAACTGTAAAAATGTTAATATATAATATTATATATATATATGTGTGTGTGTGTGTGTGTGTGTGTGTGTGTGTGTGTGTGTGTTGTGTGTGTGTGTGTGTGTGTGTGTGTGTGTGTGTGTGTGTGTGAGAGAGAGAGAAGAGAGAGAGAGAGAGAGAGAGAGAGAGAGAGAGAGAGAGAGAGAGAGAGAGAGAGAGAAGAGAGAGAGAGAGAGAGTATTTTTTCGTGTGTGTGTGGTGTGTGTGTGTGTGGTGTGTTGTGTGTGTGTATGTTTCCCTAGCGTGCCATGGGTGCCGTAAAATTCCCTCCTTGATTTGCGAGTACCATGAGCTTGTTACCCATTCTCTGGGGGGAGCGGGCCGAGATCGCCTCTATCCGTCGGTTGCTTAAGGGTGGATTTAGCGTGCTATGGTCGAAGAAGGGGAAGCGAGAAGAGCAAGATGGAGATTGATGTCGAGTTTGCGAGAGTTTGGGCGCCTTGCTTCAGTGAGGGAGGGATTTTGTTTTCATTACTATCCTAAATGTTTTTTTCTTTGTCTTGTCTGTCTTTTTCTCTTCATTTCTCCTCTCTTCTTCTTTTCTCCCCTCTCCTTCCTCTTTCTCATCTTCTCTCTCCTCTCCTCTCCTCTCCCTTTTCTCTCGTTCTCCTCTTCTCTCTTCCCTCTTCTCTCTCTCCCTCTCCTCTCCTCCCCTTGCCATTTCTCTTACTTTCTTTCCCACGCCCCTCCCTCTCTCCCGCCCCCTCCCTCCTATCCCCTTCCCCCCCTCCCTCCTCCTCCTCCCTCCCTCCCCTCCCCTCCCTCCCCTCCCTCCCTCCCCTACCTCCCCAGTTCCTCCTCCATCCCACCTCCCTTCCTCGCCGCCCACCCTTCCCACGCCCTTCGTACTCAGTGCCTCTCCCTCTCTTTCGTTCTCTTTCACGTGGCTTTTTTTTTTTCTTCGCCTCCATTTCTCGCGCTGATTCTGAACTCATTTTCTTTTATTTACTCGTTTATTCATCTTTGTTATTCATTTAATTGATTATTCAGTTTATTTATTCATTTATTTTAGTATGTGTTATTTTTATGCCGTTTTGTCATTAATTCATAAGGAGAGGAGGATCAGATAATCGAGAAAAAAATGGAATAAAAGAGGGAAGAGGTCACAGCGAAAAGGAGATAGGACGTATTTGGATAAATGGGGGGAAGAAAGCAAAGCGAGGTGAAGAGGGAAGGAGGAAATATCTTCATATTTTTTTTCGCGCCAAACCGGACCGAAAACAAAAGACGGAAGAGATGCGCACGGCAAAGAAAACGAAACAAAGCAGAGTAACTACGATAAATAAGAGAGAATCAAATTACTAGATAAAGATAGACAGGGACTAGAAGGGCAAAGACTAACGGGGAAGTGGAGGGGGGGAGAGGGAAAAGGGGAGGAGGAAGAGGGCGAAAGGAGAGGTGGAAGAAAGGGGGAAAAGGGGCAAGAAGGGAAGGGAAGGGTGAAGGAAGAGGGAGAAGAAGAGGTGGAAAGAGGGAACGGGGAAAGGGGAAGGGGAAGAGTGAAAAAAGGTTGAGGGAAGATGGGAAACGGAGGAGGGAAGAGAAATAAAGAAGGGAGAGGGCAAAGACGAAATGAGAAGGTGGAGAATGGGAGAAAACAGAATACATTCGCAAGAGAGAGAAGAGAAGAGAAAGAAGAAGGGAGGAGGAAGGGGGGAGGGGATGTACCAGGAATTATGGAGTAGGAAAGAGAGAGAAGAGAAGAGACAGAGAAGGAGGGGAGGAGGAAAGGGGGAGGGGATGTACCAGGAATTATGGAGTAGGAAGAGAAGAGAAGAGAAGAGAAGAGAAGAGGAGGGGAGGAGGAGAGGGGGGAGGGATGTACCAGGAATTATGGAGTAGGAAGAGAGAGAAGAGAAGAGACAGAGGAGGAGGGAGGAGGAAAGTGGGGAGGGGATGTACCAGGAATTATGAAGAAGGAAAGAGAGAGAAGAGAAAAGAAAGAGGAGGGGAGGAAGAGGAAAGGGGGGAGGGGATGTACCAGGAATTATGGAGTAGGAAAGAGAGAGAGAAGAGAAACAGAGGAGGAGGGGAGGAGGAAAGGGGGGAGGGGTCATAGGAAAGAGAGAGAAGAGAAGAGACAGGAGAAGGAGGGAGGAGGGAGAGGGGGGGGGGTCAGAATTAAACTGTGAGGGGGGAACTTAATTAAACTTCCGGGCCAAGGCAAGCGTGCGGTCAGGACCCCCGCGCGAAACATCTGTCGCGTAGGCATTAATGGCACTCATTACGAACAGAAATATACGCCGTTTGGCCCTGATAACCCTGGGAGGAGGAGGAAGAGGAGGAGGAGGAGGAGGGAAGGAGGAAAGGAGGAGGAGGAGGAGGAAGGAAGGAGGAAGGGGAAGGAGGAGGAGGGGAGGAGGGAGGAGAGGAGGAGGAGGAGGAGGAAGAAGGGGAAGGAGAGAGAAGAGGAGAGCGGAAGGGAGAGGAGGAGGAAAAGAAAGGGAGGAGGAGAAGGGAGAGGAAGGGAGGAGGAGGAGGAAGAGGAAGGGGAGGAGGAAGAGGAAGGGGAGGAGGAAGAGGAAGAGGAGGAGAGGAGAGGAGGAGGAGGAAGGGGGAGGGGGGGAGGAGGGGGAAGGGGGAGGGGGGGGAGGAAGAGAAGGGGAGGGAGGAGGAGAAGGAGGAGGAGAGGAGAAGGGGAGGAGGAGGAAGAAGTGAGGAGGAGGAGGAAGGAAGAAGGGAGAAGGAGGAGGAAAGAAGAAGGGGAGGAGGAGGAGGAGGAGAGAGGAAGGGGAGGGAGGAAGGAGGAAGAGGGAGGGAGGAGAGGAGGGAGGGAGGAGAGGAGGAAGGAGGAGGAGGAGGAGGAAGAAGAGAAGAGGAGGAGGAGGAAGAAGAGGAAGAGGAGGAGGAGGAAGAAGAGGAAGAGGAAAGAAGAAGAAGGAAAGAGGAAGGGGAGGAGGAGGAAAAGGAAGGGGAGGAGGAGGAGGGTGGAGAAGAGGAGAGAGAGGAAGGGAAGAGAGGTGGAGGATGGATGAGCTAAGAAGAGGGAGAGGAAAGGAGAGGCGACAAAAAGGGAGGAAGGATGGGAGAAGAGAGAGAGGGGAAGAAGGATGGAAGGAAAGGAGAGAAATAGGAAGGGAGGATGAGAGGAGAAAAATAGGAAGGGTGGAAGGAGAGGAGAGAAATAGGAAGGGAGGGTGAGAGGAGAGGAGAGAGGCGGAAAGGGAGGATGGGAGAAGAGGAGGAAGAATTTAAGAAGAGGAGAGGGATGGGGAGGAAGGCTGGAATGAGAAGAGAAAACGGGAAGAATGATAGAAGAGGAGAGAGATGGGGAGGAAATGTGAGAGAAAAGAGATGAGAGAAATGGGGAGGAAGTGAAGGATGGGAAATGTAAGCGAGAAAAGTAAACGAGACAAGAAGAAAACGAAGAAAGAACAAAATAAAGGAAAGAGAGAAGGAAAAGTACAAAAAAAAAAAAATCAACAAAAAAAAAACAATGGAACGAGAGAGATTTCAAGAATGAATAACAGAAGTAAACAAGAGCAAATGAATAACACGAAACGGAGGAGGAAACGGGGAAAGGAGACGAAAAAAGGTGTGGACTTAAGGTCAACGGATGGAGTGACCTTTGCGCGACCTTTGGATGGGTATTAATTTCGCACGTTGGCGGGGTCACGTGTTATTTTCGGGCATTTCCTCTTTTTCCTTTTTGTAATAGGAGGGGCGAGGCGGAGGTGTCTCTGGGGAATCCCCTTCTTTTTAGAGGGAACAGAGCGCGCGCGCACACACACACACACACACGTACGTTTGTATGTGTATACATATACTTTATTATATATATATATATATATATATATATATATATATATATATATATATATATATATATATAGAATATATAATGTATATAATATGTATGATATATATATATATATTATATAATGTATATGAAGTATAATATATAATGCATAACATATAATATATGATACATATTCACACATTCATACCATATATAAAGACGCTTGTTTGTGCACCATCCTGCGGCGGAATGGAGCGGCGCCGAATCCCTGTCTTGCCCCGGAGTGAATCGAGGGCGGCGCGCGGGGGAAGCTGCGGGAAATTGGTTCTTAGGTCAATTAACTTCTGTAATTTTGCTGTTAATTAGGGACGGTACTTCACGGCGGCAAATGGGAGGGAAATATGAATTCTAACCGTGGACAGAATCAATAAAGGTTCTTTCTCGCCATCAGTTAATTAATTCATTTTTTTCTCTCCTTCCGTCTCTCTATCTGTCTGTCTATCTATCTATTTGTCTATCTATCTGTCTGTCTATCTCTTTCTTTCTCCATCTCTTTCTTTCTCCATCTCTTTCTTTCTCCATCTCTTTCTCTCTCTCTCTCTTCTCTTTCTCCATCTCTCTCTCTCTCTCTCTCTCTCTCTCTCTCTCTCTCTCTCTCTCTCTCTCTCTCTCTCTCTCTCTCTCTCTCTCTCTTCTCTCTCTCTCTCTCTCTCTCTCTCTCTCTCTCTCTCTCTCTCTCTCTCTCTCTCTCTCTCTCTCTCTCTCTCTCTCTCTCTTCTCTCTCTCCTCTCCCTCTCTCCCCTCTCCCTCTCCCTCTCTCTCCTCTCTCTCCCTCTCTCCCTCTCTCCCTCTCTCCCTCTCTCCCTCCCCAATTGTAATTGTAACTACAGGAGAGATTTGGCGCGAAAACTATTTAGAAGGAACCGTTATGTACAAATGAAGAAATTACTCACACGAACGTACTTAATGGAGAATAAAGAAGAATGTTGGTACTCTTATTCTTATCGCTGAGTCGCCGAATCTTATCACTGCAATCACTGTCTTGCAAGCTTTGAGTACATAACGTTTTTTTTTTAATCTATAGAACAGTCGGTTTTGTTGCGCGACTGGAGTTTGTTCATAAGAGAGTGTAATCATTACCTGTAGTTTGATAGATATTTGAAAGAATAAAAGGAGAACGAGGAAGAGTGACCCACTGTAATTTATGTAATGTTTAGGAAATTTATGTATTTTGTATTGTGCTGCTTTCCTCGTGTCCCACATGTATTCTTGCTAAATGACTATCAGGGAAAAGACCCGTTCTTTAGAGCCGTCCATCCTTCTCTCTCTCTCTCTCCTCTCTCTCTCTCTTCTCTCTCTCTCTCTCTCTCTCTCTCTCTCTCTCTCTCTCTCTCTCTCTCTCTCTCTCTCTCTCTCTCTCTCTCTCTCTCTCTCTCTCCCTCCCTCCACTAACACCAAACTAAAAACCACCTCCCCGCCCACAGAAACGCCGTTGTCCCTGGCAGCGAGAATCAAGAAGCCAGCCAAGATGGTCATGAGCATCGTGAACGGCGGGGCGCTCCTCGACTACCGCACCAAGGACGGGGTGACGGCGATGCACAGGGCGGTCCAGGCGAACAACTTCGAGGCTGTCAAGACGCTGCTGGGTAGGTCCTCCGTCAGGGTATTTCGGAGGGTTTTAGGCCTCCTGTCGGATATATGTAGGTGATGGCGATAGATCGGAGATGGAGATGTATGAATTGGGGGGGTGTATGAATGACGTTGAAGTTGCGATGATGCAACCCTCTCAACCTCTTCCTTTGACCTTTATTGCAGACTTGGGTGCATCTCCCAATTACCGTGACTCGCGTGGCCTGACCCCTCTCTACTACTCTGTAACACACAACACGGATCCGCTGCTGTGCGAGGCTCTGCTGCACGACTACGCTGTGATAGGAGCCTGTGACAACCAAGGGTGGCAGGAGACCCACCAGGTAAGGCGCTGCGGGTCGGGAGGAAAGGTTCCTGTAGTGAGGTTTGGGCTGGGAGGCTGAGTGAACTTTGATTGCGAGTCCATGCAGAGAGAGAGAGAGAGAGAGAGAGGCTGGGGCCCGGCGACGAGAGCTGGGGAAGGAAGTCGGGTAACTCAACGGGTAATTCTACCGGGTAATTGGATTTGTGTTGAGGGCAAGTAAGAGAATCTGTTTGGCGAATTTCCTGGCACGCTTTTGTTTAGCATTCGTCAGGCCATATTAGTGGGGAATGTGTTATAAAAAAAGTAGATTCATTCTTTCATTAACAACAATACGGAGGGATTAGAGAAATAGAGATTTTGCTTATCTTAAGTGGATCAACCTGTCCAAGTGATAAGGTGTTGATAAACAGATGCAGACAAAGACACTTTCTTTTGTTATTAAGCTGCTGATAAAAGTTTTCTTCTGATTTATTATTTTATGTATATTTCCCATACCTTAAAATAGGCATAGATTTTAGAACTATGTTTGATTAACTCAGAACAGAACAGAGAAAATCCATTTTGATACTTTTTTTTTTTTTTGGTTTGGGTGGACAGAGCCAGTACTTAATGCCATTCTTTCCTCAGGCTTGTCGCAACAAGTTGGTACAACACCTTGAACACCTGCTCTTCTATGGTGCTGATATGAATGCTCAGAATGCTTCTGGTAACACGCCTCTTCATGTGTGCGCTGTCAATAATCTGGAGGATTGTGCGCGAGTCCTGCTCTTTCGAGGCTGTGACAAAAATGCCCTCAATTATGCCAATCAAACACCATACCAGGTGAGAGTTTAGCTTTAATAATGCTATAGTAATTTATGTCAAGAGTTCAACTTATACTCATGTAATTACAATCATGAAATTCTGACATTAGTCTCTTCTAGTTTGTGAAGTGTAGTATGAGTGACATTTTCAAACTATGATACAAGGTTTAACAAAATGGATAATAGATATATTTATTTGTCTCCTCCAGGTTGCAGTCATTGCAGGCAATATGGAACTTGGTGATGTGATAAAGAACCATAGCATAGAGGATGTTGGTAAGTGCCTATTTCTTATTTGCATTAAAATTATTTGCCTTGATGCCATAATGTTATCTATGTTGATGTCGTATTTTAGTTTTAAGGTACTGTGAATGATTTTAGTTATTGTGTCAAATTTAAAACAAGTTATGTAGGATATATTGAATATAGCAGATATTTTTTATGACTAAAGACCAATCATTTTTCCCCACTGCAGTTCCATTCAAGGAGCCACCAAAATACAACCCCAACCGTCGCATCTCTGGAGCCCCTCTTTCCCGCACGCACTCTGACCCAAGATTAGAAGTATGCGCTGTGACAAAGCCCCCCTCGCCGTCCCCCTCCAGTAGATCCATCCCACCCTTCAGTTCTGCCTCCTCTCTTAGTGAGACGTCAACGGGCAGTAGTTCTACATGTACGCATCCAAGTGAGATGGATTCTGAAGAGTGTGCCAGTGCTTTAGGATCTGCCAGCCTCAATGCTGGTAAGTGGGGTTAGTTGAATTTACTTTTTAATACAAGGTTTTTGCATTAAGAATTTGAAAAGAATGCTGTGGATATATTGAAATTATTGTTGGCTGTTTGAGAGAAATATTTAAAAGCCTAAAGGTTCTCTGTTAACTCTTGATCTTACCCTATTACAGCAGGCATGGATTGCTGTGATATGGTGAGTGACAGCTCTGGTGTCTGCACATCCAACAGTGGGAGTGCAGAAAGTTATGATGCAACACCTACTGACATCACTCACTTTGACGTAGGCATGCTGGTGGTATGTTTACATCAGTATACCCCACACAAACAGGGACACCTGGACATCAATGCAGGCGATATTTTGGAAGGTGAGGACACATTATAGGTAAATGAGTTATGATCATCTGACAATGTGATTAAAAGGCTTTTTACTTTTACCTCAGGTAGACGGAACATTACCTCTCATCACTCTTTTCAGTAACTGGTAGCACCGATGACGGCATGTTGGAGGGTGTCATCCGAGGGGTCACAGGAGTCTTCCCCCCTCAATGCGTGCAGGAAGTGCGCCTGCGAAACCCACAGGCTGTAAGGGAGTCCTTGATTGCCCCACAAGTAGCGAGAGTTCAAGGAAGACGTGAAATGTTGGTCCACCAGCACTATGGGACAGCACCGAGACTCAGGAAGCCAGTGGTCAATCAGTAAGTTGTTCTGGTATTCTTCTGTTTTAAAAGCTTGGTTAGGCATTTTGACTGTATTTGTATATTTGACATTTACAAAGAATGTATGCCATATCTTTGTAGCATGTCATCAAAGAATTCTTGTAATATTCATAGTTTAAAATGTGTCAACAAATCTTGTATAAATATTTGGTTAAAAAAAATAGAGCTTTAGTAGTACAAATTTTCTTGAATGTTAGATGCAAATCTCTTCTAATACTATTTTTTCTTAACTGAAATTACAGAGCCAGTGAGCCACGCACTGTTGTTTTGCATAGAGGTAAAAAGGGCTTTGGTTTTGTGTTACGAGGAGCAAAAGCAACTTCACCTCTTATGGAGCGGCCCAATGAACGAGGTCCAGCACTCCAGTACTTGGATGATGTGGATCCTGGGGGGGTAGCAGACTTAGCAGGCCTAAAAAAGGGTGACTATTTACTCAGGGTAAGTAGAAGTGCATTTTTCCTTACATCTATACTTTTTACATTTTTTTCATTCTTATTACGGGAAATAGTAAATTTGGTGTATACCAGATTTAGAGCCAAAGTTGAAAAAAATGTCCATACATTTGTAGATACTAAGCTTCCTGATTCTTGCTAATGATTTGAATGTATGTCCATGAAATCCATGAAGGTCAATTCCTGAGCTATACTAATTATTTAAATGCATGTTTCAGATTAATGGAGAAGACGTATCCCAAGCATCCCACGAGCACGTCGTCAATCTCATCCGGAAATCTGGAGACTTGGTCCAGATGATGGTTGTGACTCCCGCGCCCGTCACCTTCACTCCTCACAAACCGCCAATAGGCAACCTGGGAACTATCAGACGTGGGTGCCAGACACTCCCTCGAAAGCTCCCTGCAGGTAGATGCATGATACCTCTCTCCGTTCTCCGGTCTCCAGCTCAGACTATGTTGGAATTTCTCTCAGGGTGCTCGGACCTGTGGCTGTTGCTCCCCACTGTGGTTACTGTGTTCAGTGGGCACTTGAACTGACTCATAGTACCAGTACAGATAAGAAAAGTTATCCATGAGCACTATTGCCATAAGCATACTATAGCTGCACCAACTCACTCTTTGATGTGTGATGTGCAATTGGTTTATACAGATATCTCGGTTTTATAGGAAGTAGCATGAAAATTAACTAATATCCTTTCATAATCTGCATTCTATATAGACAATTATTTCAGCTTTCAGTAAGCATGTGAATGGATGTCAAAAAATTTATATATACATTTTCTTGCACATAGTAGTTGATGAGGAATTAACCCCACTTTTCATATAATTTCTTCACTCTTCCATTGGTTATTTTCGGAATCTTCAAACTGCTTGCTGAGAGTGTCTTTATATTTACTGACCCTTATAACCCTTGACTATGCCTTTTTTCAACTATCTTGGTGTTTTCCACTACCTGCAAAGGAGTTTTTGATTTTTTGAGTTTTACTATTTTCAGATAAGCTGACTTTTTTTTTTATTTTACCAAAAGATATTCTTAAGTGTAATGGTTATATATGCAACACTTAGAGACTGATATTCAAGAAAAATCTACTTTTAACTTGCATTATAGATGCTTCCTCTGCTCTGTCCATTTGAGTTTCATATCTGTATATTTTTCATGCCCAAAGTACAGTCTAAATCCTAGGAGAAGTAAGACTGATGCATCTAAGTGCTTTGCTTCACTAGCAACCTGGATATTTGTTGAGGAGTGTCATAACCCTTAATGAGATTAGCAGACAGACTGATTTCATGGAATGTGATGCGGCAATGTTAGAAATCCCCTCAACAAAGTCCAGAGTTCTCCACATAACCCTTGTGGCTGCTACTTAGCTTACCGCCGCCACCTGACTAACTGTGTTTGTGTGTGTGTCTCCCTCTTAGTGCGGTCGTCCCAAGCCCCCCCTGCACCCCCCCCAAGAGACCCCAGAACCACCTTAAGTGTTGGGCGGGCGCGAGCCAAGTCTATGGTGGCTGGACTCCAGGACATTGGTAAGATGGGTTGCTTCTTTTTTTCAATTTGTGTCCCATTTTGATGGTCTTTCTGCATTGGAAGTGGACTAATGTGTTGTTTCAGAGTTTAGATGTCAGAATTGGTTTCATTTTCCTTTTTTTTTCTTTTTTTTTTTTTTTTTTTTTGCTTCATTTGTCATATATTTCATTATATTATTATTTGTTTTTATTTTATTTTATAGCTATTCATGTTAATGTAAGTGTGTGAAGTTATTATTTTTTTTCATTATTGTTTTGTTTGAATGTTTTTATCCATTTGTTTCCATGTTCATTTAAGAAGGATTAGGTTTAGGTTAAAATCCGTATTTTTAAATAACAGAAAGATTGCATTCAGATTTTTCAGATGAAAATCACAGATATGGGACTGTTCCTTCTAATAAGCTTTGCATAGTGCATAGAGTTTGCATGTCATAAATAACACCAAACCTTAAGAGCATGTGCATGTAGAGTATACATTCCCCAGATCTTCTGAAAAAAGGACAAGATAAAGCTTGAATTATTTGACAAGGAAATTTCAGACGCAATTACCGATGAGTACAGAAAAAGCCTGCATGCACAGCTATCTTGATTTGCAATAACAGAATGTCAAATTCCTCCTAAAGTCCTGACTGACATCAAGCATTTTGCCCCTATAGAAGCACTGGATGCCAGCATGAGGGAGAACGGAGACCTGATGTCCCGTTCCGCCGGACAGTTCCCTGGCGGGGGTCCGTATGGCAGTAGTCACTATGGTGTCAGTCACTACACCAGTGGGAGCCAGTATGGGACGCCCCAGGGAACGCCCACCATAGGCACGCCAGTGGGTACCCCACCAGGCCTCAAGGTAGCATCCATCAAAGCCCGACCCTCCTCCAAACGCATGACTGCTGCCGAGATGGAGGACATGATGACCCAGTCTGGCTCTCTTCCCTCCTCTCCTCCATCAACTCCTACTGGGCGTCCTCCTCGTGTGTATGCCAGTGTGGCTGAGATGAAGAAGGCAAAGGTTGGTATCGCTTCGGCCTCTTGGCAGGATATTAACCATGTCTGAGTGTGAAACTTTTTTTTTTCTCTCGGTTGCTCTTTTTCTTGTCAGTGTTTTAAAAATTTGATCATTGCATTATTGAGGGTGTGATTGTTATGCACATAATGTGTAGGTTCAATTACCTCTTAAAGACAGGCACTGTTTTTTTCTTATAATTGCATCAGCTATAACAAGCTTAGGCTTTTATTTGGCCTGAAAGAGCTATATAATCATTGTCTTCTCTGAAAGTACCATTAGCATACATCTCATAAGATATTTTCCCAACAACATCCATCATAGTTAGCATCACAGCTACAACAGCATATATTAGCAAACAACTTTTTTTTATATATAGTTCCTTAGTTCCCAATTTTAGTTATACAATATTGCACCACAGATATATTACCTTTTTGACATTTACAGTGACCTTTTTACATCATGTTTGCTGTCCCTTGCCTTATTTGCTTATTTATTAAAGTGTTTGCTATGCATGTTAAATAGAGTGACTACTTTTGAAAAGTGTTCAGAACTATGCATACAAAAGGTGCTTGCCTGTGATGCACAAGAATGAGAAACCAAGGGCATTGGAAGATTCAGTAACTGTGTTTGTATGGAGACATACAACATTAGTTTTGATGCTTTTTTTGCCTGTTAAAATATTAAACTTTGAAAATCTTTCAGGCCCTGAAGGCTCGGCAGCCATTGGACCTTACCAGACTGCACAAGGGTTTCCATTCTACCCCAGACTTGAAAGCCGAGGTCACGGGTACCCTTCCAGCTTTTACCATCGAGGAGAAGCGCAAGTCTGTTTCACAGGAAGACCTCTTCGTGACAGCATTAAACGAACGCAATTCACGACACTCCCTTGTGTGTCCGCCACCCCACTCGAGCACTCTGGAGAGGATCACGGTGGGGTCTCCCGAGTCTAAAGAATCATGGCAGAGTGGTGAGGAAGGGACAGAGGAAGAGAGCAGTGATTCTCCCAACATTTCTCCTGGCCCATTGGAATATCGTATGTTAAGGCGATCACAGTCTGCTGTCAATACTACTATGCTGCGTAAAGCAGGCCTACATCCACCGCCAACACACCCACCACCTCCCCCACCACTAGGACAGCTTGTGAAAGTGGATATTAGTAGATCCAAAAGTGATTATGCAACCGTTGGTGTTGCTCCTTCAACTCCAGAGGCTATGCCAGTGTCACCAGGAGTTCAGTCCAGCTTTAGACCGACTGATTGTGCTAAGCTTTATGCATCACCAGAAGAGATAAAGACAGTCGGTTATCGCAGTCCTGAAATGATGGCGACATTAAATCGTAAAAATGCCAGTGTTAAAAGTCGTTCTCAGAGCTTACCCCCAAGCACCAATAGACCTAGTGTGCAGAGGGGTTCCCCAGACAAGGACACATCTCTTGATTCTGGAATATACCTTACAACATATTCCACCTTCAGAGGAACAGAAGGGGAAACGTCAAGAAGTCGTGAAGTTGTATCACCCAGTAGTGCTGGGAAGGCGCCAGTTAGTGATACTGTTACATATGCAAGACCCAAGAATAATAAGAGTATACATGATCGTGCAGAGTCTAGTTCTCCAAGTAAAGCCTACACAGGACCAGGTTCTGTAGCTTCTCCAGCACCTGACATCCCTGAACCAGATTATAGTTCAGATGAAGATCATACATACAACTCTCAAGATGAGTCTCAGTCAAAGAAGACCAGAACCCTGAAGAAGAAAAAGCCCACAGTGGCATTTTCTCCTAATCTTGTGACTTCCACATCAGAGTCATCTGACGTACCTCATTATGCTGCACCAGCCAAACACCCAACGCCTTTAGCAGGCAATTTCAAGGACTTGATAGCTCAGAAAGCAGCTGAAAGGCAGGCTAGACAAGATGATGGACCTGAACAAACAAGGTCAGCTACTTCAAGTCCAAGTAAGAGAGCCAATGGAAGTAATGGCAATGGTAATGGCAATGGCAAGGCCATATCAGATGCTATCCAGGAATCTGCCCTCTTTAACAGACAAAAGGAGAAAACTGTACCGACAGGAACCAAAGCCAGACCTGTTCCTGTTGTGCAGAGGGAAGATTCAAAGTCTACTTTAAAGATGAAGAATTCCCGTTCTTGTCCCCATGATTTTAATCTTGAAGATGGGGATAATTCTTCTAGTGGAGTTAGCTCTGATCAGGATGTTCATCAAGAGTCAAATTACGTAACAGTCATCAACACAGAGTCTGACACCATATCTGCTAATAAAACAGATAGGTTTGTGAGACATGGGACCAGAGATGACAGTTCTGAGGCATCTGAAAGCTCTGATGAGGCTAGTGATCGTACTTGGATATTAACAAATGAAAAAGGAAGTGATTCAGGAAAAGACAGTGATAGTAATGGTGCTCGAAGATCAGGAACTCTGACAAGAAATGCCGTGTCATTAGTGAAGCTTCCTCCTCCACAAGAAACAACTGAGCCAGATTTAGACACTGAGCTAGATGTTGGACAAGGGCGAATTATGTCTCGATCTGTTGATCAAGATACTATAAGTACATTATCATCACTCAGCAGCTTGTCATCTGGGTCAGGCAGTACAGGGGAGAGAGAAATGCAGCATTCGATGCATGCTGGCCAAGTACCCAGCTCAGCACCAAGTTCATTACAGATGAGAGCCACCCTCCCAAGGCCTCCCTCAAGTGCATCAAGCTCTAGAGGAAGCTCAGCACCCCCAGTGAGCCAGGCCATCAGAGCAACAGTCACTGGGACACTTGGTCGAAGTCGGCCCACAACAAGAGAACAGCATTGGGAGGTAGAAGGGGAACCTATGGCTGTGAGGGAAAAGAGTGCACCACCCACCTCTCGCTCTTCTACGCTGGAAAGAGATAGCTATAAGAAGAGCACTAATGTTGATACAGGAGAAACAGAGTATGAGAGGAGTATTGAAGAGTCCTTGCAGTTGATCCGTATGCATATGGACTCTCTCAATGAAGTAAATACACTGGCAGGAGTTCCTACTCGAGATCAAGCTGGTGGTGGGGAGATGGTCCTGGCACCTCCTCCAGAGTTTTGCGATATGTCCATGGCTGGAGCACAAGGCAGGAAAAATAACAAGACTGTCATCCATATTGGAGAAGAAGAATTTGATCAGCCTGGAAGAAGGGGGCCAAATGTCCATGAAGAGGAGGAGGAACTGCTTCCGAGATTCAGACACAAGACCCTGACTGAGTGGACGACGCGTGATACAACCGAGTGGCTTGAAAGTATATTTATGCCCGAGTACAAAGACTCCTTTGAGGAACAGGATATTGATGGGAAGAAACTCATGGATATAAACAATGAATCGCTTATAAATTTAGGCGTGAGAAGGGTTGGGCATCGAGTTAACATGGAAAAATCCCTAAAAAGGTATAAGCCCACTGAAAGAATTGATCTTTGAGTCATACGCCTTCTTATATAATATCTATTTTGGTAGAAAATGTATTGAGCCAGTAGATTGAATACTAAAAGTATAAGGGTCCTACTAAAGATTTGTAAAAATTATGATGGGTATGAGAATGAAGCATTGTCTAGTAGCTTTTTTCTCTTTACTATTGTATTACGGTTTGTGTACATTGAAATGCTGCTTCAATTTAGGAGAAAGAAATGTTCCCTATCAGAAGCTGGAGTGTTTCAGAGGGAGTGAGATTCTACAGGAAATTTTCATCTCAGATGGAAAGCGACTCTGCAAAAATGTGTATTCAGGCTGCCATTTTTCATAAATCTCTCGCTCATTATTCCAAGTTCTTGCAAGTGTTTAAAAGACACTTTAACTTGTAGTCTTTTCACTTATGACGTCCATCCTGTAAACAAATATTGTGGTAGTAGACCTTATAATCATATTGGCTTCTTTGTCTTGCTGGAGTGTTGTTGATGGAGAATTTAAAACCATTGAAGACGCTTCATATGATTATTTCCTTTGTTTTTTGTTCTTCTGTTAAATGTTTAATATGTTTTTTTTTTAATGAAATCAGAAATATTATAGTTTAAATACATATTGCAGGATAATGAATTAAGACTTCATATATACTAATGACAGATTGCAAAACATGAGGTTTTGAAAGTTACTTTGTCCATTAGTACTTTATATTAGAACTGAAACTTAAATCTCTGTGAGATATTGACACTAAGTTGATGCTGATCTTCTTGAATGTTGCTTTAATTCATATATTCATTAACCACATACTTAGCTCATAAAGGAGGTTTTCCCCACAACAATATATCCCACACCAGTCCTAATAATAAATTGTGTGAGGGATAGCTGGGGCACTTTTGGAATTAGGTTCTTGTACTCATTCATTAGGCCACACAATATTCCTGCATGCTAGATAGTCACCAATATTCATTCTGTGTTGTCATTGCAGACTTTTTATACCTGTAGCATTTTATATATAGCAAAACTATTATGTACCAGGCTATTATATATAACTTCTGCTGGAGAAAGAAAAACTAAGAGAAATTCATAGTATTTCTTTTTGAGTGTAAACTTGGTGAGTATGAATGTATTTGTACAAAGAAAGCTGTTAATAGTGTAAATATGGCAATCGTATTATTTAGTTTCATTTGACACTATAATGCATAAATGTATATATGGTTCTCTTTCTGCTAGTTTATAATGTCCGTTCTGTTTCTGCCAACCATTGTGTGTGTGCCAAATGCTTCAATGCCTGAAGTCAATTGTGAGATGAATTTAGAAAAGTCTTGTGTGTGTGCAGAAATTAATCTTTTGCCAGCTAGTTGAAAATAGTGATTCCTGTGAATGGAATGCAAGTGACCAGCAAGACACTTAAATTTTTCAGTTCTTGTAGACCAAGTTTGTTGGCAATGAAGTGGCCCATAAGAATAGTTTTCAAAAATTTTGGCTATATATTAATACAGTTGTGAAATTATCAATGTAGATGTGATGAAAATGCATGAAATATATTGAATAAATAAATAAAAATCTGGCCAGCTTCCCCAGATGAATGATATAGGGCCGTTTACTCACATATTTTGTAATGTTTTGTGTATTTCTAGAATCTTAATAAGTTCAACATTGTTTTGGACAGGAACATGGTTTACATGTGAATCCAATAATTGAGATTATATGTCTAGAAAATCTTGATGGAAGCTTACAGTAAGACCCAGATGATGGATAGTATCAAGCCAAGTTGAAGGTTTGGTACCGTAAGTAACTGCGCGGTATTAGCCAGCTACAGTCTCCATTGAGCAAATGACTTTGAAAGTAAATTTTGGCATTTAGGACTATCAGCATTTTTCATAAAGCCTCCATGCTCTGTGTTATTTTATGAAATTCATGCTCCATATATACATAACATATATATATGTATATAATCCTCATATATATATAGTGGTGCTTTTGGTCCTCAATGTGTCAGAGCTGGATCATATTTTGCTATCATTTGTTTAAGGAGTTGATTGGTGCTTTCAGAATTTTGGGAAAGATG